TGAAGAGGGGGTGGATGTCATTTTCCCAGAGCTTTATTTTTCTCAATTCTGGTAAGAGGATTTAATCTGTAATGCTGAAACTTTCTGTAGCTATTCATCTATCCCTTGCCAAGGTTTAGTATGTCAACTGTATTCCACGCATGTCATTTGACATTGCCAAAGCGACCACATTTTGACACGCATGTCAAGCCAAGTGGGTTTTTTGACAGAAATATTCTTTGTTTTTGCCAGTTAGTACCTGTCTACATTCTATTACATGTTTCACTCTCTATAAATAAAGATTGCCCTCTACACATAAAGACAGATAGATAGATTGATTGATTGATTACATGTAATTCTGATTTTTGGTTAATTCGATTCCCCATCAATTAACATTAAGTGTCTTGACTTTCTGCAAAAATAGTGAAATCCAAGATGGCAGATCTAAGATGTTGGACTTAATGGCATCATCTGACACCAGATGATGCCATGATCAACAAAAAATATGTCACCTTGTAGAGCAATAAAATGCTTAAGGTTATCTACTGAATGCAAAACATGTTGTATTACAATGAAAACCCTAGGCAGGGGCTCCTTCAACTGCACCCCCAACCCCCTAAGTTGTATCACTGTCTGGTTGTGAGTTTGGGTGTATGTCCCAGGTTAATTTATGAGAAGTGCCCGTAAGCTTTACTGTTTGTCCTTATCTCTTCCCACACTACATTCTATATACCGCTATATATCACACTATTTTTCTCATTACGAACCGTAATAACTTGATTAAACCATTTTATCACCTTTCTTTCTATAAATGGCATACAAATTTTCCTGTCTGTAATCTGGCCAGGTTTGGATGTCCTTCAGAGTCACATACTTTGAACCACACTTGTAAACTTCCCGTTTCTCTTCCAAAGGCAGATCATCAAACTTACTCCAAGGTGATCTGTGTCCGCTTTCTGTTGCTTCTATATAATAGAACAATTTACTTAGCTTTCCTTTCCTTTAGTTTCTATTTTACCGTGAGCTTTAGGTTGCGATTGTACTGCATAGTCAGTAAATTGCAATTCCTGACGGTGCAAAATTAATGGCGTCTTCGATCATAGCATGCAATCGAAGGCACTACAAAGTGGCTAAACGCAATCCTTTATCATTGAAACTGCATCCGATGAATGACACCACAATGGAACTTTGCTTATGGTTAAAGTCGTACCTGTTGTTTCAGAATCTTGTGTTTTACGCTTTCCGTATAAAAATTTTGTGAGCACCGACTGCATCGTAAAACCCCTCCGACCCTTGTCGCCACAAATAGATGATCATACATAGCGAACTTCCTCTTCCCATGCACGGCCGCTGGCCAGATTCCCGGATGTTGTAATGTTTTAGTAGTTTTGGCGGGAGTTGTGTTCTTTATGTCTTTCCAGCAATAAAATGAGGTCAAATTCCACTATTTTGACTTTTGCGTCATGGACCTGACTGAAACAGGAAAAATTTATGATTTGGAGCGTTTTAAGTCTCCAATGCGACGAAGAGTTCCCACCGAGAGGAGTATTAACCAAGAAAACTCATCGCTTATGGACAATACGACATCGATTGGAGATGCCTTCGAAACCCGTAGTCGCTTTGACCAGGTTTTCCTGGCAAGTCCCCGAGCTCAGGTATTGTAAGACTGGTGTCAATAATTCCATACTGGAAGATGCATTTGATTTGAGTGGAAATATAGCAGACGTTACGAAATTAAATCGCCAGCTTTTGCGATCACTCATTATTATTCTTTTGTCATCGATATATGATCGATACTCCAGGCCACATCATTTCAAAACATCTGTTTTGACAGCGCTAATTCGTTACCTTTCGGTGGGTAGGTGCCCTATATGGTTCCTATCCATTCTTGATAGCAAATCTATAGCTATATGCTCAGATGTGCTGTTATGAAGGGTTAAAGCCTGGTTCCACATATCGGAAAGCACCAGATGATTACATACATCGATATCCCTAAAGTCTGCTAAAGGGCAGTCCCTGTGAAACTCATGTCGAAGATACGCCAAAAAGTTAAAGGATTGTAGTAAAAAAAATTACTATCCACATTGAAGATCAATAAAATAGAATGGGTCTCAGGTTGCTGATGACTCAGAACTTTATACACTTTCTATGAAAAGCATAGCAGTCTGACATTTCTGCAACGTTCTAACTCAATACCAAGTTTTATGTTGTTTCTAAGCTGGTTATATTGCCTGATCACTCAAATGACAGTCATGAACTGCAAATAACCCGTGGCTTTATAACTATGTCATTAATATATTGGTATTGTCACCACAAACACCTTGTAATCACTGATATATTTTACAGGAGTTGTATTCCTCTTTGGAAAAGACAAAACAGCAACCAACACCACAGAAGTCAGCTCCAATGAAAATTGTTCCTGATTTATACCGACCAACACCGCAGAAGTCTGCTGCATTAAAAAGTGATTCTAATTTACAACGAGGGACGCCACAAAAGTTATCTACATCAAGAAGTGTGGCAGGTTTTGATGAAGTGGTCAACATGGCTGAATTCTTTCATAGTAAAACCTCTCATAGTTCAATTGCTTGTTCAGGACTGTCTGATCCATCGATGAGTTTAGGAAAACCAAGAGCATTCACTGAGTTCTTGAAAGATAAGGACTTTCAAGTGAGTCCATTTAAGCCCTCGGTGAATGACAGTGCAATTAAGCAGAAAGTCCAGATGGTCCTAAGCAGACTGGAAGATGATTCCGCTATCCCACTGAGTAAACCACAGAACAAAGCAGAGCCAAATGCTTTGTTACAGGCAACAAGTAGGGACTCTGGATTTACTGATTTGCAAAGTGATTCTGGAGGGAGTAGCGAGGGTGCATTTACAGATGTGAGGAACAGGAGTGGTACAGTAACCTCAGTGAAAGAAGGAAGAACACCAATAAGTGTGAGTGATGTTAATAATGCTGCTGGAGATCGAACTGTCAATGAAGGAGAAGAGGTGCACATGTCATTTGAAAGTAATAGTAGCGACGAGGAAGTAGATGTCATGACAGAGGATGTGCAAGTTGATGATGATGATGATGGTGATGGGCGTCATGACAACAGTAACAGTGCCACGCCTAAGAGCAAAGAATTTTCCGTGGAGCAGACAGGACGTGTTACAAGAACAAGAAAAAGAGAAGCTGACAGCCAAGAAAAACCAGATACTAGAAGAACGAATGAAACTCCTAAAAGCAGTGAAATATCTGTAAATCAGACTGGAGGTGTTACAAGAACAAGACAAATAGAAGCTGACAGCCAAGAAAAACCAGAGACTAAAGGAGCAAATAAAATGGAGACTTCACATTCTTCAACGTCTTCAGACAAGGAACACAGTCAGGTTAGACAAGATCAGACTGTATTGAACAGTTTTTAGCTTACATGTATTTTTAAGAGTACCACAGGGTTATCGCTAAGCCCTGGCTGCCAGCTAAATTTGCCAGCTGAGATCACCAGCAGAATTTTGGTGGGCAATCACTCAGTAAATGATAAGGAAGTGGTTTTTAGGTTCAGGGCATTGTGAAAGATTGGGGTTGAAAAATTTGTTCCAGGTGATAAATGGTGACCGGCTCAATGAAAATCTTAGCTGGAGGACTATTTTCTTAGCTACAACCCTGGTATCATCTAGGTATATTTTATCCTTCTGCCCCTTGATCAATGTTTAATATTTTCCACTATTCTAGCTTAAACTTTAGTTTGCTCATCTTCACAAGCAACAAGTGTTTCTTTGATGCTAGCATTTTGTGTGATTTGTTTTAATGATGTAGGCCGTGCACAAGACCCCCAAGACTTACAGCCTTAGCTACTGGTCTATAAAAGCATTGAAGACTCGCACACATATGGGAGTCATTGTTGAAGGACAGAGAAGGTGATTAGAAAGTTGTTTGTATCCTAACATGATAAGACTTAACCAGTTATGTACATTTATACTGTATGTTCAATTTACTTGCCTGGGGAATCCTTTTCAAGAAAATCCACATGAGATTGCTGTAGTAGTATGGTGATGTTGTGTTTCAGGTTTCCATAGCCAAATGTCATGATAAATTAAATATTAACAGCTGCATCATGGGGGCTTGAATTATTAAGAGCCTCTACTATAGGCAGCCAGTCCCTAGTTTGCACAGTATCCTATTAACTGGCTTTCAACTGCATTCAAAATGAATTCCTTTGGTAAATAATTCCTCAACATTTGGTTTGATTTAGGGTAACTCAAAGGGCATTTGACTGTTGATCATTCAATTTTATTTTACACACTTTTGTACGTGTGCAATTATATTGACTTTACGTTCTTCGGTGGTAGGTATAGTTCATGTATCGCATTATTTATTTAGGAATCTGTGTTACTAAAGTGGAATCCCAATTTCTTGAACCCTCATTTTTTCGAACCTCCTGATAACTTGAATTTTAATTTTACCCCCGACTTCTCGAACTCTCCGATTTTTTAAACCAATTTTTGTTTCCCTTGGAGGCTCGAAAAATCAGGATTCCAGTGTAGTTAAAGCCAGGCCTCTCCTTTCCCAGGAATATAAATGAATACTGGCAAACTTATTTTCTGGCAACCAGACAAACTACTCCAGTAGTGAGGTAGTACTTGCAATCGGCTGACATCCCCTCTGCAGAACTAAAGTGAAAATACTCCTGGTCACTTTGTGCTGGGAAATCATAGTTATAAGAAGCATCAGGGCCAGATTGTGCGAAAGCCGGTTAACGCTAACACAGGACTCAATGTTAACCTAAGTATTTGGTTTTCTTGTTTAAAGTAAGAATGTTTTTCACTGCTTTTGTTTTGCGTAGTTTGAGATTATCAAACTCAAAACAGAAGTTCAAACAATATAAACTGACAAATGTACCAAAACATAGCAAAACTGAAATCAAAATTCTCTGAGTTTTTCTCCTTCCCAGGCTAGATGGAAAGATAGCACATCACAGGGTTTTCTTCCCAGCATTAAATTTTGTCCTTATTCAGACACCTGGATCGAAGTAGGCACTGTGAGAGTAAGGTGTGTTCTCCAAGAACACAACACGGTGACCTCTGCCAGGCTTGAACCTAGATCCTGTGATCTGTAGTCTGACGTACTGACCATCACAATATGATGTTTATCTCCCAAAATCTGTTGGATTGGGATGAGTTAAACCCTAACCTTTTGTTCTTCAGTGAGGATCCAGAGGGTGAGTTGTGGCATAGCACAGCTATAGTCTCCAGATTAAACTCAAGGTGTGTTCAGACTAAGAGTGGATCTCACTACAAGCTGGTAGGACCTGTGAATGAAAAGGTCACCCTGCAACAAGGTAACAATAATAAGATCTTTGCACTTGATTCCTGACTAATCAAAACCACTCGTAGAATTTGTAGAGTAACCATAAGAATGTGTTATACATAATGTACCTATGATTTTAATGCAGTTAACTGTAATGTAACTAAAACAACGAAGAGAAGCTGGCATTCATCAGGTGGTCAGTGATTCCTGGATGTTAGCACAGGTGTAGTACACCCCATTGGAGTAGCGTGCTTAGGCGTGGGGTAGTTGAGTTTTTCGGTGGCGCTCCTTGTTATTTTGCCTTGCCTTCTTCTGCCCCTCCCTTCCATCCCTTTTCCACTGTTATTTCAGTGTGACAAGTTTGGGGGCTCTGGCTGGGTTGCAGCCGGATTGCCAGCCATGGGAGTGTTTTACTGTTTAGGGGCCAGCTGATCACAGTGGAGGCCCCTGACATCCCAGGCCCCCATCTTCCATACAGCTTGATGCAGTTGTTAAATAAAATTCAATACTTTTTGTAGGATTTCCTCCTGAATTTGTCAATGCATTCAAGAACGGCTTTCCTCACAACTGGCTTTCCCTTGTATCTGATTTTTTCAATTCTCAAAGCAGGTTAGTAGTCAACCTTTTTTAACTAATCATCAAACTCCAAAAATGAGCAGCACACAAATCAGTAATTCCTTCTCAAAAGTAGCATTCAATTTCTGACTTATGGTCCATAAATGACTTTTCCCTAAGTGACGTTATAATGTCCTTGAGTCATGGGATCACAGGGTCATCAATAATTACAGCTACTTACAGGGGGATGCTAACATGAAATGGTCTAACACTGAGGGAATGGGGCTGTTGAATAGCTTTGCTGGTTTTGTACTGGTGGGGAAAGGGGTGGGGGGGGGGNTCATAGGGTCACCAATACTTACAGTTAGTGACAGTGGGATACTAACATGGAATGGCTCCACACTGAGGGTGTTGAATAGCTTTACTGGGTCTGTGCAGAGCGTGCAACTGGAAAAATTAAATAATTTTGTTCAAGCTGCAACATTGGAAAAACAAAACCTAGATTGCATGACAGGAAAACTGAACATTTTAAATTGATCACGATTAAAAGAGACTCTGCTAATAAGGGAATTAAAACCCGCTCTAAATGATGATGTAAGCAGCAAAAAGCTTTGTCTTTATTAGTTTGCATTGTTTATATGCAAATTTTTCTCAGCTTCTGTCATTGTAATTGTTAATTAGTTACTTATTTTAAATTGAAATTTAGTTGTTACTTCTATTCCTAACGGTCACTTCTGAAGATGCATGTTGAAACATATGAAACGTCAAGTAAATGAACTTTGTTTTTTAACGTGCGTTTTATTGCCATGTTTATCACCGCAGTTTGCGTGTTTTTTCTTATACAACAAGTTTGCTCTTGTTATTATTTATTGTTATTATTATCAGCAACAGTGAAGCCAAATTTCCTGTTTTGGGCATGTGACTTCACTCATTACTTTATAAGTTGGAGAAACTTAAAAAATGGTTTGGTAAAAAGTAAGGAAATCCAATGTTTTTTAGATACTTACGGGAACAGGGATGGCACAGTGGTGTGATCGTTTGCCTCCCAACAACATGGCCTGGCTTCGATTCCTGCCTGAAGCCATATATGGATTGAGTTTGTTGTTGGTTCTTGCCTTGATCCGAGGGTTTTCCTATCTCCAAAAGAACCAACATCTCCAAATTCCAATTTAACCAGGATAGAGACCAGTTCAGGCTGATGTGGCTTCCTCTCTAAATATTGCAATTTTTGGAAGACAATTTATAACAAAATCTGCAGTAGCTACGTAGATGCATATGTATATAAACATACCGGTAATGAAGGACTGATAGGCAATTTCACCTTTATCACTTTGACATCTAACTAAAACTGATTGGAACTTTTAAAACATATTACACATTGCAAATTTCAGCTCTGAAAGCGAGGACGGGAATCAAATTCAAGAACAGCCAGGAAAGAAGAGCAAGAAAGTCCCTAAAGGAGGGAAAAATTCTGCTGTCAAAACTCACACTCCTACGGAGTCCAGGACCAAGAAAAAGAACAAAACTGCAGGTACATTTTACCCCTGACAGTAGTGTTATATTTTTTCCCCAGTAAATTATTGAATGTATACTTTTTTATTTTCCAATTTTAGCATTCACAACCCCAGAGAACAGACAACTTCCAAAGGAGGTGGAAGTCAAGGTACTTATAATAGCTGCAAATTTTTTTCCTTTCATAACCTTACAGGTATTATAGAGATGCTACATTAGGTTAAGAGCTTGTATTGACTGTATTGAATGCAACCTATGTACTGTACATGTTTCACAATCGACTTTTTGATAACACTTCAGGAAATAGTTTATACAAAGGTGTAATGGATAACTTGTTTTGCTTGAGATCTGTAAGTGGCATGGAAGTAACCTCTGACCATTGGACATCCCTTTCAATTTAAGAAACCAATCAATTAATGGAGAAACTTTCCAAGCTGTGTGAAATTTAATAGAGACCACTGTCAACCTACCTAAGTTGAAATCAATTCCTTCAGAATCTTGATTACTACCTAAGTTTCTGTTGTTGATCTAAGCTTTTAAAAGGATTTTCATTTTCCAAACAAGGGATCTGATGGAAGAAGACTAATTTTTACAGTAGAATGGATGATTTAATACCTGAGAACAGATGGAAAAGTGAAAACAGATTGTAATCTAAAATCTCACTGTAAGTCAAAGTTCTTTATAAGGGCTATATCTGTTCATTTCTGTTCAATATTTCCAAACCCAGACAACGAGGAGTGGACGCATGGTGAAGCCGCCTTTAGCTTGGTGGAGAGGACAGCGCATTGTTACTGATAGAGACCATAACCTAGAAGCGATTGACCCTGGTGGAGTGGAATGGACAGCGCTTTCTCCAATGTATAACCTAGAGATTAAGATTCCTCCAAAGGTGAGGATAGCCTTTTGGCTTTTATTTCAGAGGTGTAGCAGCTCTTGTAAGCTTGTAATTCTCTTCATTGTTAGCAGCTGTTATTGTTTTAGGGCTAGGGGCATTGTTTCAGTTGTTTGTTCTATTTTTCTTTCAAAGGGTAGCAAGCCATTCATGTGAGACCTTACGACAGCTGCTACGTCACCCTTTTATTTTCATGCAGGGGTTTCATTAATGTTTTCAGCAACAGGGCAACTGGTTTTCACATGTGGGCAAAACTTATTGAACTGAACTTCTTTATAAGATGAACTTTCCTCCAGGTGGTCGAACCAGTCAGTCAATTTGCATGGTGCCCGACCCTTAATGAAACCCCTGTTTTCATGTGAGGATCTACCTTGGCAGTTTGAATACCAAAAATATCCTTTCCATCATCATACATGGGGAAGGTCATGCTGGTGTCTAAAACCTGATGTAATAAAATAATCATAAATGAAGATTCTTTTCAAGTTAGGAGACAGAGTATTAATTAAAAGAACTCCCTTGAGGTTGAGTGTTGATTGTAATCTAGAGAATCAGAGGACATCAATAGCTAACAGCTAATCAATGCCATTGCTTATGTGTAACTCCAGTTTTCTGCAGTATTCATTCTCCCTGGATGGGACATGCTAATCTATCCCTGGTTCCTATCAATGGGACTTTTTTTCAGTTTACATGTTGCAAACAATTTCAGTGACAATTTACTGTTCTGTGATTTTTTAATCCTCGTTTTTTCACATTTTCAATTATCTAACCCTTTTCTCTCTCCTACGATGTTATGGTTTTGTTATGTTAATCTATGTTGTGAAATTTTGTTAATCTTTCTTAAGGTGAGGCAGAAGGAGAGTAGAAATACCTCTAGCTGCTTCATGCTACTGAAACAATTGGGTTACGCCTGGCAATATGGAACATTTGGCCCTATGAAGATCTTTCCTTACCATTTTGATTGAGAATCTCTGGTTTATTCTCTTTTTCTCTATTTTCAGAGTAAGGGATCCCTTGTGCAACAGAAAAAGACTGTATCTGGCAGTGATAGTAGTGATTCATTGCCAAGAAAAAGAAAGCCAAAAAAGACATCGAATGCTACATTAAGCAACAGCTCTGAGAGAGACACTGATGAAAGTACAAGGGCATCATTATTCTTTTCACCAAAGAAAACTCCAGACGAAAACCAAATCATGCAGAAAAGTAGTCCAAAGAAGCAAGCAGTCAGTGAAGGAAATGGTGCTAATATGAACAAAGTTAAAGAAAATAGGACAACAAAGAGCATAAGGAAAAGTGATTTAATGCAAAGGTGCAGTGTAAGAGAGGTACAACCTCAAGAGCATGAAATGACCAGTGAAGATGAACTTCAAATACACGTCAGTGTTGAAGGGAAGAATAAATCAGCAAATTCTGTTGTTGAAGAAGGTCAAAACCTTGACAAAAGGAAATTTTACTCAAAGCCATGCACAGACAGTGAGAGTGAGGTTGTTGAACAAACAGCTTCAACCATTCCATCACCACCTAAACGAGTTTTAAGATCTCGCAAAAGTAAACGTAGCAACACAGAGGTAGATTCCACAGTGGATTCAAATACGGATTTTGAGTCTGGGGATTCACAGGTAGACAGACGACGTGAGAATAGTCAGAGGCAAACTGTGCCAAGGGGTAACATCATTAAAACCTCAGACAGTGAAGCCAAGTTGTCTTCCTGTGATGAAAAATCAGATAATGCTGGAGATTCAGGAAAGGTGACCAAAGCAACTACGAAAAGAAGAAATCTTGTGAAAAGGCTTGTCCACAAAAGAATAAACGAGCTCACAAAAGAAACAAGTTCTCAATCTTCTGAAGAGGACTCTGATGGAACTTCTAGCTTGCAATCGAAAAAAGGACAAGTCCATCCAAGAAGTGCGAAAGCTGCTCAGAAAAATGTAGAGGATCAAATTACAGTAGAAAACAACTTTAGAGTTGAACCTGGTTCTTCTAACAGGAAAGCAAAAACTGGATCTGATAGTGAAAGGGCCTCGAGCAGGATGCAAGCCTTGAAAGTTTTTAAGCAGCCGGCAAATAAAAAGAACAAAAAGAGACAAGATGAGATGTCTGATGAGGTGCCTTGGACAGATGAAGAGATTAAAAAATTGAATGAGTATGTATTGTGATTGTCTGATTATGTACAGATTTAACACGGCTGTAGAGGAGAACTTTCATTATTAGGTGCCTTCAGATCGAAGTACATGTATGAACTCAGTGTTCATACTTAATAACCATTGCATGTTATGCAATCTTGTCGCCAGTACCTCTGTTGCTATTGGTCAGTGAGAGGAAGGAACAAAAGTTCAGAAAACAAGATTGGATTAAAACAAACTGAAAGTCATAATTATCGTTCTTGTACTCATACATGGTACTTTAATCTGAAAATCCCTATGGCTGACAGTTTCTTGCAAAGTCAAACAATAATTGATATCTATATGTGGAGAAACTCTTGTCAAATTGTTCTTATGTGTCTTGTCCAAGAACAACAAAACACAAAGACCACCCAAACCTAGATACACAGCTTTTCAAGTAAGACAATAAGACAATACTGCCATAATTTCCAATGAAAAGCTTACCTATTTGCAGCAGCTTTCCTACATGTATATCACATTCATTAGAATACTCGATCATCGAATCTTTCATTAATCTAGAATTTTTTATTTTTGAAATGGTTCTTCCCATTTTCTTTCTATAGAGCACTGTACACGATACCTGGCAACACTCCAATGTTTTGGCAAAAAGTTTCCAGTAAAGTGGGCACACGAACTGCTGAGGAATGTCAGTTCCATCATCAGGGGCAGATTGTTGTTTCCAGTAAGAAGGACCAAGCAGTGAAGAAAGGTTCTACTAAGGAGAAGAAGAATCCAGGACAGAAAGGTACTCTTCATGTCTCTTGATGGCCGTGATTACCTGGCATAGTAGGCATGCAGAGCATGCAAAGTACAATGTACTTGTAGCCCTTTGCTCTTACTTAAGGCCCATAATTCCAGGTAACTTATTATCATAACAAGACAAATGTGTGGCACAATCTACTATCTATTGTTTCTTGCCTCTATGTATGGGGTTCAGATCTCAAACTTGACTTTATAACGCTAAGTTTGTAGTTGATCAACCACGTTCTGAGAATTTTTTCCACTCTCCACAAAAAAGCAATTCCTTCAAAGTAGTGATGTAAGCACTTCACAGCACCCAGCTGTAGATGTTTCTAGAACAGTTTAACATGCTCTTTAGGTGCATTTGATCCCATTATTGTCCCATCTGACTCTAGTCTATCAACTTACTCACTATTAGTCCCGGGGGAAGGGGGGCACTCCCTTATATGGGCTATATATAGCTATATATGGTTTTTCAGCCATTTTCATCATAAATAAGGTATCAATTTGGCCGTTTTGGTCTTAAATAGGGTAAGGTTTTTGTACTCTAGTCTTGAATTGGGTATGTTTTTTAGAAGAAGCTAATCTCTCATCATTATCGATTAGACCATAAACAAAAGCCCTTCAAAAATATTATGTTTAGGGCAACTGTGTCAGCTGCAATTGTCATAAATAGGGTATCAAATTTTTGGTTTGGTCATAAAAAGGGTAGAGAAAAATTGCAGATCTTAGTCATAACTAGGATAAGGGTTTTGGGAAGCGGGCCACACACCACCCCCACCAAATTTTTCTGGGAGTACCCCCCCCCCCCCNCCATATGATGCACAGAAAGCTAAGAAAACTGTTTCTATTCCAGATCTTCCTTGGTTAGGAATTGCTAGTATGAGGACTTGCACTGTAATTAAGACAATTTGATGTGCAGAGCTAGCAATACAGTAGTGATGTAAGCACTTCACAGCATCCAGGAGGTCATGGGTTCGATTCCTGTCGGGGACTCAGAATTTTTCTTTGTCCCACGCTCATGTCATGTTGATTAATTCACCTTCACATTTCATGACCGAGCTTAAAATTCACCATCTTTATTAACTTATCAATACAGAAATACATTATATGGCAAATGGCCAACATTTTGTCTAGTCGAGGAATTAGAATGCAGGCATATGAATGGATACACATGGCTTTGGTCCTGGCCATGGTTGTTCGAAGGCTGGATAATACTACACACTGGATAAATTGCTCTCCAGCCAATAATAATTGTTGGCAAAACAAACTACGCTATCCACTAGATAGTAATTTATCCCGTGGATAGTGTTATCCACCCCTCAAACAACTGGGGCCCAGTAGACCTTGTCAACTAGTTGAACTAGTCAAAATTTGGCATATAATCTTTTTCCACCCTACTAGCTTTGTGTTTCAAACTGTCTCAGACCTTGTTATACATACGTTTTGTTTTTTTTTAGCTGCCTCGCAACAAAACGTTAAGACAGTTACGGGTGGAGTGGGGACCATCAAGCGAAAACGAGAGCTGCGAGAACTACTTGAGCAGCAAGATGTCAACTATGAGGATGACATCTTTGACTCAACACCATTTAAAAAGAAGAAAGATCTAAAGGTATACATATGACCTAAGTGGTCCATAAGTCCAGTGTTTTTCTCCAATTTCTTTATCTTGAAGTGACTACAAGTATTTCTACTCCCCCCTGGATGGAATGTTAGTCCATCCCGGGGTTACCCCTCAGCATTAAATTTGCCAGTATTCATTTCTACAAATGGTTAAAGAGAGGCACTGTGAGAGTGAAGTGCCCTGGCCAAGTATAATGGAGTGAAGTATTAATGGACGAATGCATTCACTGTGTTGTGTGTGCTATGGTTTCAGCTTCCATTTAATCTAAGTAGTCACAGCAGCGATGAAGAAGGTGATGATGATGACAATGACGATGACGATGACGATGAAGGTGAAACAGTGGACAGTACTTCATATAAGACACCCAGCAGTCGCACACCGAGCAGTAGATTCCGTCCTCTGGGTCCTTTGTCCATTTCAGCGACTCCTGGTGCAGAGTTCGTGAGCCCCAGTCTGTTACAGCAAGTCAACCGGTAAGTCCATTTTACCCAGTACATCTGATTGACCGATGAAACCAAATCAGTAACAACAGCAAGTATTGTCAATTATTAAAAACATTTGATAAGCATTCAGAGAATTTTATTTGATGCAATTCATGTTATGTGCCAAGCGAGCAGGCCATTTCCAAGTTACATTGCGCCTCTTTTTCAGAACGAGTCTGTGCAAAACCTTGCATATAAAAATGAGCTTGATTTGCATAAAAATGAACCTGTTGGCAGAACACATTCCTACACTGGAATTGATCATCTCACTTTTTACCATCTGTACTTTGTGCTATAATTTATAATGATGACACTTGCCAGATTTAACATTGGCAAACTGGGTATCAATATTTCCCAAAATATGTATCGAGGAAAGAGTGAAAAATCTCAAAGCAGGGTTTGACAGATTAGTGGTGATGTTTCAGTGATTTAAAACGTAGCTGCACTTAACTTTACCATAGGAGAGACATGGATCACTACATCTACAGAATGCAACAAGGAAAGCGAGGAACACAAATACCTGGAAAGCAAAAATCAAAGGTATACTTTACAGGAGAACAAGGAAGATTTCCTTGGCCTACTTTTCACCTTGCCTTATTAAATTTCCCTCATACTTGATTGAAAGATGCTTGATTGTGTTGTAAGGAAAGCAAGTAAGCAAGTAAGCATTTATAGGGAAGAATCTGACGAACAGTTACAATCTGCAAGAAGCAGCCAAATCTCAATAACCCAAAAGTCAACAGTATGCCAGATTTTTAAAATGAAATTTCCCCTGAGACAATAAATAGCAAGAAAAAGCAAACTACTTAAAGAAAAATTAAACTGTTCCATTCACTCATTGGTTTCATTTACGGATTCAGAAAAAGTGATCACGGGATGGCGAATTTCATGATCGTGTGATTAGTGAATCTCCTGCCGTGGGGGAAGGTGCTGCACAGTTTGTTTGCAAGTTTGTTGAGTTTCACACTTTCTAGCAAGGTAGGATTCAAGATATGTTACAGAGAAAAATTTGAACAATGTAAAATTCATGGCATGGACAAGATTTGCCTCGAACTTGGTACTTTTGTGGAATTTGCAACAGCTGTGCTGCAAGCTGTAGCCAAGAGATGTTTGCCATCACGTGATCGCTTGTTTTGAATCCGCAGCCGAAACCAACGGTGCGTGAAACGGCCTGCAGAAAACCCATTTCGACAGATGTCTGGGATCAACAGTAAGATAGAGTTCATTTTGCAACGCTGTAAGTTTTCTGCCTTTTCATCTTTCAGCCGATGAGGACATCCACTCCAAAGAAATCTTCATCAAGCAGTGGTTTGCCTGCATTAAGCTCAGATTTGTTTGAAGCTCATCCTGCTTCAGATCACGAGTCAGAGGAAGATGACAAAGACTATTACTTCTCCGATGAATAACAACTGAACGATTTATGTAATAGTTTTAGAGCAGTTTTAAATCGAGTGTCTTAAAACCAAAGTCAAAGTAATCACTCTAGCCAATCACAAAGGACACACAATCCACTGAACCAATGAACACTCGAATTGAAGAAATTACATGTTCCTGCCGCAAAGCGCGGGAAAACGCGTGCGAGTGAGTCACCATTGGTTTTGGTTTTACTTCTGACTGGGTGAAAAAGTGGCGCGAGTTTTTTTAACTAATCGTGTAGCGTAGTTGATCCAAAACCAATCACTTTTCGACACTCAATGACAACCGCTCTAACAGTTACAGTAGCAGCAGTCTGAAAGTCAGACTTGCCACAAGCCCACTAAATCTATCCGATGATAAGAACGTAGCTAGCTGCAGTTGGACCATGCTCCACCTGTGCTTATCATTGAACTATAGTAAACATAAAATTGCTCCAACTCAACCCCATCGAAGGTAGTTCTAGTACCTAGAACGAGTTAAAACAACAGAGTTAGACTACGAGTAGTCCCTCTTTCGCTTAGTCCGTCGGACGAGACCGTAAATAGAACGCGAAGAAAAAATGACCGCTTGAGGAGTTCGCGCGACCATTTTTTTCTCGCGGTTTTCTTTCGCACCACGCACGACGTACTAAGCGAAAGAGGGACTACTCGTAGTCTACAACAGAGTTGTAAGTGATAACTGTCGATTGTCTTTAAAGTCCACGTGAAAAGTTAATCATATACATAGATGTTACACATTGGCGTAACAAACGCCTCCATGTTGTCAAGAGATCTTCAGGCCGGAAATGTTTCATTTAATAAACCTTGCTTTATTACAAGATCTTGGTGTGACGTGGAACGATTATAATGTAAATTAAAGGCTCTCTTTAAAATAGTTTGGTAGATTGTTTCCTCAAACAATGCATAATATATGTATACAACTCCGGGTTGACATACATCGGCAGGCTTTTCACTGTTGACTAAGTGTATTGAGCTTTCTGGTTAGTGTCGTTGCTTGATGCCAGAAATATCAAGTTATACAATATGCGAAAAAACTAGAAAGTATCACAGGACTCATTGGATATCTCAAATAAACCATAGAACTTTGAAAGAAACGGTTCTTTCGGTGTGGTGAGTGGTGTTATATTTTTATTTGTGTTCTCGATCATTCTGAAGTAAACTCCCGTAAAATGGACTTAAAAAGATTGTTCCTTCATTGTTCTGAGCTCTCCTTTTTTCTCGATATAAAATGTAATACCTGTTATAAAAAGTCTGTACATCATCTGCCGCATCAACCACCTTTATCGGAAATTCATACAAGTACACAGTTACACTGATTAAAGGAGGAATCAACTGCGAGCGGAGGTGAACGCATAACAGTCGGATGAAATTTATCTTCAACTGTCTTATCGACTATCAAGAACGCCTGGTAAAGCAAGCCTAGAGTTTGCCAAACTACAGAGAACTGTTGTCAGCGTTTTCGTGGAACCTACATTGGAATTGATCAACGCTTTAGCGTACATGAAGTGTTATAATATGGTACTGTAATGAGCTCCAAAGACGTTTAGGTTCACTAAGCTTTAATCACGAAGCCATCAAGATGGCTGACTTACATGGTTAACAAACAAGATAGAATTGCATCATGGGAAATCAGTCAATCAGCCTCACAAGGCATAATAGCTCACAATACTAAGCGTGCTCTCATTGGTCGATAGGCGTGTTTAGATGAGAGTATGGGAACATGGTTGTAACGTTTAAGATTCGCGCGTAGTTTTGAGAAATGTTTTTTCAAAGCAATAGTAAGTCTAGAGTACTTTTTCCGTGTTTACACTGCCGCATCGACACAATAAGAGGGTTGGAAAAATTCTCGGAAGTGATGCAAACCCGAGACGCAGTCAAGGGTTTGCATAACTGTCTCAAACTCTACGAAACCCTTGTGTTTAGATGAAGCTACGTAAACACGGAAACTGAGTGCTCAATATCCAAAGGAACTGTGCGTAATGCCAAGACAACACTTAACTCAGAGAAACGACAATAGGACGTCTTGCGGAAAAAAACCCACAACTTTTAATTTTACATTTTCCTGGTAAAACTGATTTTTTTTCTTCGAATACATCATTGTTTGATAGCACAAAGGACAACAGGAGATATAAAGTTTTCCAGTGCGTCTACCATGAAAACCAGAGATTTTTTCATAGCATTAGTCAGTCATTGTCCGTTAGTATTCCATGATAAGAAGATCCTGAATCCCATGAAAACGAGAGATAAAAATTCCGAGTTGGTTGGAACGTTTTTGCAGCGTGGACAAGTCACGAACAGATGATGACACGGTTAAACGTTACAAAATTTCCCCGTCATACTTCGCAGTTATCAGAGTAGCCCTGTTGTAACTCTGGTCCGCTCAGACTGTAGATGTAGATGTAGCCTGTGTTTCCTGTGCAGTGAGTGAATTCGCATCACCTTTATTAAAACTATTCCTTGCGCTCTTAGTCTCTCCAGGTTCTTATGTCCCGTCACACACTCGGAGAGATTGCGTGACGAGCCGAAACAGCAGCAGTCAACCGAGCATCGAACAAGAAGACTAGAGGACCGTTAGTTTCACCTCTAGTTTTTTTCCTCCCGGGTGAAAAACCCCATTGATTTACATTCCATTTTCTCAAGTTGCTTGAGCTGATTGTCTGCTCTTCTCAGCAAGTACTCGATACGTAACCCATCCGTCTTGGGGATAACGGAGTTTTTTCGAAACTCGTACTTGATATGGTCCGTAAAGCCAGGTTTGTCTTGGCTTGCACGGAGAAATCTCCTATACAAGGAAAGCACTTGCTTCTGGAGGCGGCTTCGCACCATTTCAAACGAAGATCAAGTCAGTATTACGTAGTTTGGTCCGAAGTTTCTATCGCTTTAAATTAAATTTCCAGCTTTCATCAATCGTCCGCCATTTTGAATTGCAACGCTCACACGCTTGCGCAGTGCGCGATTCTGCTGAATTGAGACATTGTGTGCTCGAGTCGTCCCAGGGCCAGGTACGAGAGTATTTTTCAGCATGAGGCCAGACGAACACAAGAAAAAACAGCGCGCAGATTACAAGAAAAAACACGGAATTACCAACAAGAAAACAGCGTCAAAGGAAAAAAACGAGACTACAAAAGCAGCGAATGCTGCAGAAACTCAGAAGGGAGATGATTTGGCGGATATAAGCCAGGTACGTAGCGATGTTCGAAATCTAAGCTACAGTTTGCAGTCGAGTTTTCCAAATTGTACAGGAAAACTTAAAGCTAGGGATATTTCTGTGAAACGTTCACATGTTATACTCGTATCATTAGGGAGATCATAAGCAGTTCTCAAGGAGAAAAGTCTTCAGTAATTGGGATCGATATGAAGATTTTGAAGGTGAGTTTCAACAGTCTTGAATCGGATTCAGAATGCGGCTACATGTAGTAGAGGTGGCAAACAAAGAAAATCCCAACCCTTATTTTTAGATTGCAAATTTTCCCAGAGACAAACTAATATCATTGCCAAGACTCAACAAACAGACAGACAGACAGACAGACAGACAGAAAATAAAAAATTAAAGTTTAGAAGCTAATGGGGTTGTGCATAGATACATACCTCTTACTAACCGAGTTTGAGGTCTGTACTGTAATTTACAGACCGAGTTTTTTCCCCTTCAATTTATGGCCCAAGCATGAAGCGCGTGGGCCATAAATCAAAAGGGAAAACGAGGTTAGTAAGATAGTTATTATATCTCTACTGTGTGCCTGACGGGTTCGGAAACAATTTCTGCTCAGGCGGACTCGGAAAGGCGTCAAATTTCTGATGCACCTCGAAAGCAAAACAAGTCAGTTTAAAACTGTTTTAAGTCGTTAGCATGCTTTATTACATAATTTAGAGTATAAGAAAATTTTAAATTTTCACTAATAATAAAAGTGTAAAAGTTAAGAACACTTAGCGATAAATCACGGAACAGTTAGGTAACAAAACCAACTTTAAATTTTAGTGGACCGTACAGGAGAGTACGGCCCGCTAAATTGACCAGTCACAGTGCATGTGCTTACTGAGAGATATAATAAAGTTCATGAATCTAAAATTCTAATGATGTAAGGTTTTGCAAACTGAAAGTGAATAAATTAACTAATTAATTGTGCTATTATACTATATGCACATCTCTCTTAAAAAATCTTATTCTAAAGTTCCCTAGATATAATTAAAATCTGAAGATCTAAAATTGGCTGTTGTAATGGAGGTCTCCTTGAAGGTCAACTCTCTGAAAATAACAATGGAAGGGATTTCCCTATGTCTCCCATTTTCTGAGCTGGGACTCGATCAAGGATTCAAGCTAGTATTCAAGCCAGGACACAAGCCAGGACTTCTTTTGGTGTTATTATATTTATTATTTTTATTTTTGCTACAAAATGAAAGCTAACCGCAAGCAAATCTAAGTAGAACTAACCGCAAGCAAACCTTGAGTGGAACTAACCGCATACATACCAGAGATGTCATACCTGGTCTCAGTCATTGTTACTTTTATATAAATGTCACTAGCTGGTAAAGTTTTTCAGATTTCAAACTTGAGGCAAGTCCAAGCTGGAGTCTTGGCTCGAATCCTGGCTTAAGTTCTTGCTAGAGTCCAAGCTTGAGTCCTGGCTCCAATATCCCGACCCTGTGTTTAGGTATCCTTATTTTCCCAGATTTCACCAATTTTTGCCTTAAAAACAAATTTTCACAAATTTTTTGTTAATTTATTAGCCTATATTAGATCGATTATTGAACTGCCAGAAGATACCATTCAGACCTTTAATACCATCAGTTTGTGCAAATGTGTTATGTTGATTTGAAAAACAATCCACACAAATGTCAGAGCTTATCTCAGTTTCTGAAGCATTAAACAGCTTTTAGAGTATCACTGTTCCACCATATGGGATACTTGCCCTATACCAGTCTATCTAGCAATCGTGCCTATGAAGTCTGCAAAGTGACAATGTTTTTTTTTATAATACATAACAGTGGTAAGCTGTTAGTGAATATCTGTCTCTTCATGTACTTCAGACACTAGTGATGAAGAAGATAGCAGTATAAACATCACAAAGAGAGGAGAAGATTTTAATGTCCTTCTTCAAAAATCAGGTAGAACATTTGACAGACCAAGTATTTTTGTTAAATTTGTTGGCTTTTTTTGTTTGTGTTGAGTTATTTTTAGTCCTTTCAGCCCTAAATTACCAAGAATATTTCCTGATTTAATTAATAGACCCCCTATACCCATGTATGATATGC